TTGGAGAGGGGAGCAGGGGAAGCAACAGGAATATTTACAAACAGCAACTGAAAGATGTTTGCGTATGTGCTGTAAACGATCTGCCCTGAACTTCATACATGTAAAGAAGGTTTTCTTACCTTACAAATTGTTTTGGTTGTTGTGGAATTTAAAACAAGCAAGCAATAAAATTGGACGAAGACTAGACAGAATGTAACAAAGGTTAAAAAGAGGAAATTCACAATAATGATTATGAATTAAAGTTCTAAAATAGAGATAGTGGAAAGGGAAGTTAAATACATAGTAGAAAATGAATGGCTAGCAGCATTAACAGAATTCATAAGGAGTTCTAAAAATGTATGTGGAGAAAAAGGAACCCTAATAATGATTCATTCCTTGGAAGATGATAAATTCAATAGTAATGATGCATGATAAGGTATGTTTAATGCATAATTTTGTCCTATATTAATATAGAGATGGAACAATACACTCATGTCTTGCCAAAACAGTGAAATGCAGCTTATTCCAGCAGTAAGAGAGCTCTTGAAAACCCTGTCAAGAAAAGCTGTTGTAATCAGAGAGACCCGGTAACTTGCATGCAGGAGTTTTAGGAATTGATTTAGAAGTTGTCTGGACTGCTGGACTTAATTGTTGATATTTATTGGAATTCTGGCAAAGCTCCACTTAAGATATAAAGAGGCCATATGGGAAAAGAGAAATTGGAACATCTTCAGTGATTACAGAGCTATTACAGTAATTTCTATCCTAAGCAAATTAATGAAATGGCTGATACATGAACTCAGGCAATAAATGACAAAAAAAAAAGACAGGGATATAATTCAACATGCTATTATTTTTTCAATGAGATTGCAAGACTGAACAAAGATAATCACATTTATGCAGCTTACTTGGATTTCTCAGTAGTGTTTGTCTTAATACTGCATGGTATTGTTATTTAAAAATAGTATGTTATAAAATCAATACAACAAGTTTAAACTGATTGAAATCTAGGTGATAAAACTCAATGTGTAACTATTAATGAGAAGCTACTGAAAAAAGGATAGGTTTCCAAAAATTCCTAACCTAATGCTGTCCCATATTTGTACATTGACTTGAAGGAGGCTATAACATCATGGCTGAAAATGATGCAGAGGAAGAAAAGGTGGAGAATGGTAAATGATTAATAGATGTCATTTTCATAAAGCAGTAAGATTTTTAGAAAAGTCACAGAAATTTGGCCAAACTCAGGGTAGTTTTCCTAAAAATAAAGGCATCAAGTCATTTTAGAGAAAGAGGGATAACATATATGCAAGACCCACCAAGGTTCAAGGGTTGGAAGTCAGAGCTAGGCAAATTCAACTTAGTGATTGGAGAGCCTCAGGAAGTAGAGACATTCTTTCAGACTTGAAATTAAGATTGAACATTATCCCCAAGATATGTTTTAGTTGAATGAATACTTCATTTGGCTTCATAAATCAATTACGGAGCTGTGTCATGCAGTATGTCAACTATAGTGACCAAAACAGAAAGCTGGAATATGAATCATTAGAAGGAATTAAATTTCTTATTGTTAGTGACCATTACCAAGTCCCATGTTGTATATGCATCAGTTTTTTCTATCTCCACCATGAAATACTGATGTTCTCATCCTTAGTAAGGTTAGCTAAGGACCATACATTAAAAACTGTGTATCAGAAGTGGTCAGTAATATTACCTGTAGCTTAAAAACCCTTCAATTAACACTTACAGGGTAAAAGTAGGATTTGATACGCAGAGAAACAGCCAAACTGAAAATATAACTTGGCCTTGAAAGCCTGTTTCTCAGTAGCTGAATAATATGTAACTGTAATAATATGTCAGCAACACAATGAAACTTCCAACATATGTACAACTTGAGTCTCATGTAAATTAAACGCATTGTCAGGAAGAGGGGAATCAAACTGTTGACAAGTCTAGTGTGTGTGGTTAATAAGCAAAGCTCACTGGAGGAGTCCAATCCATCCTTAATCTGGTATTCCTTTGGCTGAGATCAGAAAAATAATTCATACCCCTCAGAAAGATGTTAGCGCACTCACTAATAATGCACCGCTGGCAAGTTTAAGTTGGTGTGATTTCTATCATGCTTTGGAATATATGAAATAAAGGTTCTTTTCAGCCATGTCTACATCATCAGAAATCAAAAGCTAGACATACTGCAACTGATGGTCACAACATACACACAGACAGGCCTTGAACTTGTAAATAGCCTTTTAGGAGCTGAACCTGAGATGGGAAAATAACTGAGCCCCATATGTACAGTAGGACTTGGCTAGAGTCACTAATACAATGACAAAGGTAAGATTTAGGATGGTTGTCTTCCTATTATTCTCTGGTCACCAGTCCTGAGGCATCTGAATAAAGCATGTTAAATTAGAGATAAGTATTTTATTTTTACAAACTGCAGAATTTCATATTAGATAAACCTTTATAAAATGATACAGTAACATGAGAGGTTCTGTTTTTTGTTCTGAAGGCAAAGTATGTGTGGTGTACGGAAACATCTTTGGTGATGAGATAAAAAGGATCAGTCCTGTTGTCCTCATATAACTCACCATAGCAATTATTTAAGTGATTCAGAAGAGTATCTTCCTTTTTCATATGTAGCAATTTGTGTGATAAAAGGGCACTGGAGTAATAAAAAGTGTATATTTCACTGATGGTTATGAAACACTATGTGCCTGAAATAAGTATAGTGAGTAATGCTAAATGGCATTTGCAAACTTAAACAAACTGAGTCACATATCTTGTAGAAAACAGTCCAACATACATCCCAACAAACCAATCTAGGGCAAAGGACTAGTGCGAACCAAACATATTTACTTGTTTACTTTTCAAAAGAACCACAGAGAAAAATGTCTTAAGCACTTGTATAAGGAACACTGGCAAATTCTACCTGGGAGAACACAAAACGAACTATTCAAAATTTCTGTACAAGGAGATTGGAAAGTAACAAAAGTATGGAAAACATTGTTCCTTTTAACAAATTATCTATGAAATACCTTGTAAAATTCAATATGCAAAGTGAAAAATACTCTCCCAAGTGAAGAGCAGGAATTTATTGACAGATATGTCAAACCAGTAAGAAAGTAATATACTAGAAAAGGGACAAAAAATTGAGAACTTCATCTCTGAAGATAAAGAAATGACCTAACAGATACAAACCATCACCACATAGAATGTAAATAGTGCAATAAAGTTAAATACCTTGTCAGCAATTGGGTACTAAAGCTATGCTTTCCAGTTTAGCTGTGTCTCTTTGGAAGATTTGGCTTAAAAAAGAGACAAAATCAGAAATTGGCACTATGCAGATTAGGAAGAATCAAACAAATATAAGTAGGAATTTCAGAAGCTCCCAGCTCCACACGGGGACTTGCAGACGGGCCCTGCTACGGTACAGGGGCGCTGACAGCCTGAAGGAGCCCTTGCTCCCTTTTATTTACAATGATCTGTTTTGAACTGGACTAGTTCACTGGTATGCAAAGAAGCTCCAGAAACAATGTACTGGTACAATTTGGGGTGATGTGCTGTGTTTTTGCATAAAGTGTGATGTTTTATGCCAATGGACAGTTATATCTTACTGTGGCCCCAGTGCTGGTCAGTGGCACGGCTCCTAACTTCTGGTGGCCTGGCCTTCAAAACAAAAATCCTTCAATGCTGTGCTACATGCTGAGGTTACTGTGAACCCAGAGCCACTCAGAGCTGTTCAGTAAGAAATGCTGAGATGTGGAATCTCTCCTAATTCCTGATCCTTTTGGGGGGATGAAGTATGTCTTAACTCTTAGTTTCACAGCCTGCTTGGACATTCTCCTAAAAATAGGTGTCTACACCTAAAGTTGCTTGCTTTTTTTTTTCTTCTTGAAGTGGGAAGGTGGGAGGGCTTCCTTTTGGTTGGTAGATCCATGATCAGAGCTCTCACATGGGAACTGGAGAGACTTGGTGGTAGTGCCTTCTCTGCCTGAAGGCACTCCCCAGCAGACCAGTCTGACCACAAAGCTACTGACTGTTTAGAATTAAAGAAAAAAAAGCTCTCATCCCTTCCTGTTGAACTTCGTATTGCGTATTTAAAGATCTCTCAGCCTGAAAAAAGCAGCACGAAAAGCAGCAGGACTCTGCAGCCCAGCAGAGCAGTCATTCGCTGTGGAGAGGGAAGATGAGTGCTCCAGGCACCAGCAGCTCCCTTTCCCTGGCTTCCCTCAGGGCAGCAGCACCAGCCACGCTGAGTGGAAGCAGCTGGCCGGGTCCTTCACGAGTGTCCTGATGAATAGGCATGCTACAAATACACAGAACAGATTGAAGCCTTTGGGCAGGGTAAACTAATGTTTATCTAGGTTTAGGATCCAGATGGGGCTCAGCTCAAGATAGGTGTTCAGCTGGTCAGTGCTGTGAAAATCAGATGTTTTTAAAACCTTGAGGCTTAGGAGCTTTTAATTACTAATAGTCACCTTTACAGGTTTTTTTTTGAAACTAAGAAGGCTCAGGATTCCTGGTTCCTGAGGTCTATTTTAGTAACTAAATCTTTTTGTGGAGATGGGCCTTGGTGACAAAGGGGTTATTTTAATTCAGGCTTCAAATTCATCATGCTTCTCCTGTGACTGGTCCTGAAGGACATTTGCAATTCAGAGGCAAACATCTAGAATAACCTAGTCCCACCTTTTTGGAGAACCTAAAGGAATTCAGAAGATCGGGCTGCTTTATTTACAAAATTGTCTCATTCATAGATCCATCTTTTCACTATTGAATTTCTTGGTTTGCTGTATATCTATAGTATTCAGCGTAAGTGCTATTAGTGTCTTATTTATTTTACGTATTCATATATCCACATATTACCACCTAAAGAACTTTAGAACAGGCCCAATTATAAAAGGTGTATTCAACGAAGCTCAACTCACTCCCAGCTATCAGAAAAGCAAATATAATTCAGTTCATGGCTATCAGTAAATAGCAGCTTGAAGTCAGTGTTGTGCAGAACAAGCTATGCTTACCATTAGCAGCCCTTTATAAGCGTAGACAATCCCAAGCCAAATTGTCATGTGAGTGTTTTCACAGTGCTCCAAGATTGGTCGGATGGAGATATCTCTGCCTGCAGGGTCTGGCTGCAAAAATAAAAGGTGAAATATTTGGATTCAGATCTCATTTGTATTCACACCTCAGAGGTACTTAAGTCTATTCTCAGTGGATTGAGGATGTGTAGAATACAGAGTGGACAACTTTAAAGTAACTTGTGATGACTGCAGACCCATGAACCTGCAAAGGAATACAGTGAAAAGCAAAGATCTGAGGAAACAACCGTGTGATAGCTACCAGCAGGTGAGGTCACCTCTACTGCAAACCAGAAAGAAAATGTCTGAAGTCACTCTGTCTTTAACAGTGTCAATCACATTTATCAGCTTTAGGACATCTCATTTTTCTACAAGGCAAACAGCTTGAATGCACAGACATGAAAATAAATGTGCTTAAAGTCATCCCTCCTTTCACCTGCGGTTCTTGTGTCACTGGCAAATGGCTGATAAACAATGTATGTAACACTGCTGTGTTTCAGGTGTTTTTTCATTGATAACCATGAGCTAAATCAAAGACCATTTACTATGGAAACTACATCAGTAGCTTAGAAGAGAGTATAAATCATCAAAAATTTGGGAAAAAAGTCCTTTAGAGAAAGTGAACATCTATGCAAAATTTAATACTGCTGGAAGCTTTGTAGCTTTCCATTTATTTTGAAAAGGAGATTGTATAAAAGTGCAGAATCAAGCAGACTTGTGGACTACCAGGACTGTTTGTATGAGGAAGAAGTTTTAATTAAAACTCACAGAAACCTGCCAGAACAACCTCCAGTATCTCTTGCCTTTTTTTTTTTTTTACAACAGGAAAAAAAATACAGTTGACGCAAAGAGCAAACGGGTACTAGCTATTATGCTGTCTACAATTAGAATATATATTAAGGTATAGTCCAACTGCTTTCTAATGGTGTACACTGTATAAGAACACAAGGTGCCTCTCGTATGTGATTCTAAGAGATCCTGTTTTAGTTAGATACCACAGAATCCTCCTGTTGTTGGCTATTCTGAGCTGTGTGTACCCACAGCCTGCTTTGCTTTACAGAATACACTGAAATACTGAAAGCTATTTTTCCTTTCTACTTTGAAACACTGGATCTGAACTTCAGCTAAACTAAGGTCAACCCTGACATAACTTTCTGTATGTGGTTGTCCCAGTGGGCTTTGCCATTTCCCTTTTTGATGAATAACACATGTAAAATGTCTCATGCAGAAGTATAATGATTATTATATGAGATAGGGAAAAATCACAGTTTCACCAACTGAAACATAGAATTGTATGTGGAAGGACTTTAGAGAGATCTGAATAATTTCCTAAAGCTTATTCTTGCTGCCTCTGATGCTGGTATGAATTTTGCTACGGATTTCATGGTCACAGCGTTAATCCACAGCTCAGTTTCTTCACTCAGTCTTTTTGTATTGCCCCTGACCCCATACACTGTCAAAAGATAATGTAACAAACAAGGAGGTAGACACGGGGGGGATGAAAAAAAACCCAATCAACCTTGTGCTATGCACTGCACAGTCAAAGGGTTCACAACTTTCTTTGCAAATCCTGCAGTAGGCAAGACATTAACATTTAAAACCTTTTCTTATCCTGGACTTCTATAGAAACCCTGAACAGGAGAATAAAGATCTTTGAAAAAAGGTGTCCTAAAATACAATAAGACAAAAACCAAGAAGGCAATATTAACTCTCCGAGAGAGCTCATGACTCCGCCCTGACAGTTGCTGATGGCAAGCTAACAACGATTAGCTGAAGAATTGAAATGACTGCAAACATTAAGTGGCATCACAACATTTAGGATGCTACAGATGTTTGTCTGGGAATCAGTTAAACTACCTCATTCTCCCTCATCAGTGACAAAAGCCTAATGCTAAAATTTAGGTGCACTGAAAGGAAAGTATCTTTTCATGTCAAAGTTACAACCTGCTATGTTCAACGTCATTTTTGACTAGTATTAAGTAAAGTTCACGTGACAAATCATTCAAATATAGCTCTGAATGTGTAACTGATGTGTGAACAGGACTGTACTACAGAGACATTTTTCTGAAATTCTAAACTACACCTGACCCTGCTATAAAGATTTTTTCCCCATTTTTGAGTTACAGTATGCAAATAGTTGCGTCCCTCATGGTCTGGAATTATGGAAATTACATAAAACTTAAGGTTGTGGTCATCAGAGTGCCTTTTTCTTTTTTCTTCACACTGGGTTGTCAGCACAGGACTGTGTCTGTTTCTCCAGCTCTATGTCCTTTATGCCATGTATTCCCTCTATTTCAGTTTCGTACTTTTGTGAAACAAGAAAGTTTATAAATAACTTAGACTTCCACTTGATGCGATGGACAACGTCTTGTGGTTTGTTTCCCTTGTCCCTGGATTGAAACCTCCACTCACACTTAGACTGAAGCATTCCATCACTTTTAACCAACTATGAGCAACTGGAATTATTCCTTATTTCGAAGAATATTATTGAAATGCAAACTCCGGTTTGGTCAGTGGCAGATTATCTTTTTATTTTCATTATGTGTTCATTCTCTAATGCAAATTTGCTTCAGAATTGGAAAGCATATGTCCATTCATTACTCAAAACTGAGAGACCCAGGCAGAAAAAAGACAAAATGGAAAGCATAACTGGTTTTCAAATTGTATTAGAGAGAAAGAAGTTGCATCATATCCTTAGTAGGAAGATATTGCCAGATTTTATAGGGCAATGATAGTTTTAAAAATATGTTAATTAAATAAAACGGTGTATTCAGATTTTCTATCTGAGATAAGAAATTCTTGTGAAGTGCTCTAGGAGGAGCAGGAAAAGAGAGAATACTGGTTGCAGCATCAGCAAAAGTGTACATGGGGCAGCACTTCCTTCAAAGCACTTTCCAGATCTGCAAGGTGGTAGTATTTTCAACAAAATTTTGCTGAACACTTGTGCATGTGGAGTTAAGCGTTGTCAGGTAGAGGCAATTTTACAGTGAACTGATTTTGCTGATTACTTATCAGTACTGCAAAATGACATTCCTGTTTTACTGCTTTTAATTTGCCATTCTGTTTCTTCACTGATTTTGCATGAATTAACTAATCATAGCAAAAAGCTGGGTTAAAAAAACATATGATATTTTCTGATGTCAAAAGAATTTTTAAAAACTCTACAATTACAGCTGAATGGAGCACTTCACTGACCTCTCTAATCATCCACCATTTGTGCACTTTGTTACTGCTTTAGAGAGGATGACAACATGAATGTTACCAGTGATTATATATGTACTGGAAATTTGCCCTTTCCTTTTATAGAAAACAATCTAAATGCCCTTCAGATGTCATTCTCGAAAGCCTGAAGACCTCCTATCTTGTGATTTCGTACCTCTTCTGAAACCTAATAAGGTTTCTGACATTGACATCAATTTCTGGAGTGTTTTCAGCAGTTGAACATAAACAGTTTAATCTGTTCACTTCATACGAGAGTTGTGTATCATCACCAGTAAATGCTTGTTTTACATGAGATCTGCTAGGTCTAGAAAGCAACCCAAACCAGTAAACCTACAGAATGTTTCTATCCCCTCTCTGTGCATGTTCAAATTAGTCACTTCTGTAGTTTTGTTGCCTTTTCATTTTCTTTGCTCTTTAGTCTGCTGGTGGACTGGCAGATCCTCGTCATAATAGCTGAGTGATGGCTTAGGTGGGTACTGCCAGAGGGAGGAGTGAAGCTTAAAACCACCTGGAACCAGCAGGGAAATTTGCAGGAGTGACCAGGGCAGGAGCAATGACAGAAACTGCTGAGTGCCTCCTGCCTTCCTACACCTCCTCAAAATAACCGAGCAGCAACAAGACTCTTGTTTCCTTCACGTATCTGTGGATTGCCCTTTTTGTAGAACAATTCTCTCAGTTCCTTTAAGATCCAGCTCTACATGAATAAACAAATGTATGCAGTGTGATGGACAGCTTTCCTTATCTCAGGCTAAGGTGTGGGATGATAGGGCAAACCACCCTGAGGCACCTGTGCCTTTTGGGCATGATGTTGTTTGATCCATATAAAAACAGCCCCTGTCTCCTTTTTTCATCTATAAGTGTAATTTCTTAGTGGCTATTATACTAGTTGAAATCCCTTTGGAAAAGACGCGGCATAGTGCGAAGATATTTGTATGATGATTGATGTATCATTGACTTATTTTGTGCCTTTATTGCCATTCCCTCTCTATAGCTCCACATAGGTCTTAAAAGTAGGAAGGGTCTATGTTCCACGAGGCATTTCATCCAGCAAATGTCTGTGAGGAAGAGACTGTGCCACCGCACAGTATCCAAAAATCCTTGACCTTCCTTGCGTACTTCTTCTACGTGGTCACCTCTTCAGGTCCCGTGTTGGTATGGCAGATGATCCTTATTTAGAGAGCTGTGGTGCTGCTGTGTAACATAGCTTATGGGTGGACAATCTCAGCAAGCTTTCTAGGAAACTTTGCAGCAGATTTCCAGTGTGACATTTTGCCATTTCTGCAGCTGAAGTTTCATCAGTGAGAAAATCAGAACATTAGGCCTCAGTCTTTTCCAAAGATGGATATTAAACATAAGGTAAATAGTTGCAGCTTCTGTTTACTAGGTTTAAAATAAATTGTATGGTTCCCATAATGCAGGAAAATACAAGATCACACTCTTCTGTCACACTGTTAAAATGGTCTTCATATATCATCGCGCTCTCTGTTTTATCTTCCTTTTAAATGGCTTCCATCTAACTGGCATAATGACTATATACTATCGCTAGTCTGCAGCATGAATTAGACATCTCTGGCATTTTTGATTTTGGCACATTTAACAGACATATGGAGCCCAAATGTGATTCCTTATCTGAAAATCAGACTTTGCTAAATTAGATTATCCTTACTTCTTTTTAATTTTTTTTTCAAGGATAATTATAGTTAGTTTATACTATAAATTCTGTAAGAAATTAAATTTACTTGCACGTTGTAAGAGGCCCTCCTCTGTGCTAAACTGCTTATCCATATGGAAAGGTGTTCCACAAAAAGATTTAAACAGTTTTCTCATGCAGT